GACACTACAAAGACACATGTTTAAAAGCTTACCGTATCAAGTAGCTCGTCCATGAAGCCTAGACCCAAGTGACAATTCTGCAACAGAACCCAGCCTCCCTCGTTCATGAACTGCGTGAGGAGCCTGCGCGCGTGTACTTCTTGTCCTTGRCCCATAGATATGTTGCGACAATCTACAAAGATAATATAACATCATTACCACCGCTATCAGCATCACGATGATGACACCACCATCACCATTATCATCATTCTTCATCATCATCATCATCATCATCATTCATCACCATCATCACCATCATCATCATCACCATCATCACCATCATCACCATCATCACCATCATCATCATCATCACGATCACCATCATCATCATTCATCACCATCAGTCATTACCATCATCTTTATCATCATCATCACAATCGACATCACAACCAGAATGATCATGCATGGATCTGTTATTGTTATGCGTCTATACTCACCTGTTCTTAGCTTCTTAGCAAGAGCCTCGATAGACGCCGTGGGATCTGAACCCATGGACAAGAAACAGACCATAGGAGTTCGACTATCACTCTCTTCCCACATGCCTTCGAGGTTCAAGATCACTCCCTCAGCATACTACAAACAAAACAAAAATAAAAATAGTACTTAGAGAAGGAAACCCTATATAAGTATAGATGTACCTCTACTACGCGTACAATGTCATGCAGTAACTGCTAGCGCACGCTGCCATGTTAGATGCTTATACTGTTTTATAAAATATTTGAGATATATGTTGGCTGCCGTGTTTATATTACAGGAAGGACAGAGAAATCGTTATTTAGACTGTTATATAAACACTTTAGGAGCTATAGAGCACTAAAAAAAGAAGAAAAACACTTGGCTACGCTTCGTTTTCCTAAGATTTCTTCTCTCGTGCTCTACAGCTCCCAGCATGTTTAAATAACAGTGCAGAAACATACGCGCGCATTTTAAATTCCTTAAATATAGCATTTAGTCAGTACTTTACCTCTTTTCCAATGGCTTCTGTGATGTACCTTCTCGCCTGGTTCATGGTTCGGTCCGGACACCATGATCGTATCAATAATARTTTTCTAAAGGTATCTAGTGAACCATGATATCCATCTGGTATTGGTGCGTCTTCTGGCGCGTCACTATCGAACCATGTCTTCCAAGCTTTGTCATTATGAGTAATCTAAGTAGAACATAAAAACAGTAGATGAACGGCTTGCACCACTATATTCAATACTTTATGAATACAACGGAGGTAAGAAAACTGGGGAACCAGGAGATCTTGGCAAGGGAGAGAGCAAATTACCAAACAAACTTTACTAACACGTGCTGTTCAGTCGGGTATCAAAGCGATGAACCCAGGCACGAGCTTCCTGCGGTGAAAGACAGCGTCGCATCAATGCACGCCACCCAATACTTCAATTTGAAAAAACACCTCTTGAAGAACATGATCGTAATTCTTAAAGGGATTGCGCGCGTGTTCACGGCGCAAAGCAAACCTACCTGCCCCAGAATAGAAGTAAACTGCGGCAGTTTGCTGAGCTCTACCAGGTTGAGCCATGTTAAATCTAGAATCCATTTCTTGGGTTTGGGTTCAACGGCATTCAGATCAAGAGCTGCGCCACCTGGAGAAAATATATTAAGGATTAAAGTCTGCAAGAAACTGTTTTTTTGTAAAACTGTAAGAGTATTTTCGTTGCTTACGTAGTGGATCAGATTTTGCAACAATTTGAAACACTAAAGTGTGTATCGGAATACCTCGTCGAGTTTCAGTGTTCGTGACACGTATCACCATGACCGTGACCATAACTTGACCGAGGGCTGTTTGTGATTATGCCATGCAGTAGCAATTTGATTAGTTGACAGTGATATTGCGTATGTGCCGTGACCGTGCCGTGCATGACTCGTCACAATCAAACGAAACCTTTCTTGTAATGTTTGTGACTACTCTCAGTCTTGTACCGTGACCATGCCGTGCGTGACTAGTCACAATCAAACGAAACCTTTCTTGTACCGTGCGTGACTCACAATAAAACAAACCTTCCCTTGTGTTAATACCAGTGGTAATATTTACTGATTTACCTTTGATGAGAACTTGGAATTCTTCATGTTTGATTCGTCTCTCCAGCAAATCGATCTTCAATGTCAGCAGTAAGGTGAACAAGAACTTATGTTCCTCGTACAARCCACGTGTAGTGTATCTGAACACCTCGAAGGTCAGGTAATCAATGACGTTCTGAATACGTTTGGCTGGGATGGGAGATTTCTGTGACCTGGCCATGGAGATGTCAAATAGACCCAGGAATTGTTTGAGGGATGTTTGGTACATGACATTGACGTAAGACATTTCCACGATCAGGAAGTACAAGATGCTACCACGATTAGCCACTGTCAATCAAAAAACACTTTATTTGTAAAAGAACAGATCGAAGGATAAATGCTAAATGCATACGCAAATGGGAGTGGGAAGATTAGTCTGGAAGCGTTGTTTACGTGCGCACTTGTTTATACATGCGAGTAGATGGGATGGTTTGACTTCTCAAAAACCTCTTTCCTCTCGCAATCAAGTTTTGTTGGACTATTAGTTACAATACACATAAACCAGTYATTCAGGTTTGACAGCTGGCTAAACACGTTTTCACTTACCTGGTCTGTACTCCTCACGCGCAGTGTTTATCTTGACTTCCGTCTCAGCAGCGACAATTAGTTTCTCACTGACTTCTTCTGACGTGGCTTTAGTAGAACTTAGTACCTCAATAAGAGACTCGTCTTCTACTAAAGAGCCCTGGGTACTAGTCAGTCTGTACAGTAGGTTGTCTTCTAAGTCTTGCATGCGTCGTTTATTGGCTGTCACTTCCTCCATCAGTTTGGTCCTCTCTGCTTCTAGTTCCTACAAGGCCATGCATGATACAATAGTAAGCTCAGTATTGTTTTTYCGGTCTACCTGGATTTAATTAGTGCGAGAGAGACTGGTACTTACTTGTTTCTCTGTTTGAATAACCCGTCCTAGCAGCTGATCTTCCAGGCCTTTCATAGTGACCGTGAAATCGATAATAGAAGTCTTGGCACTAATCTCGGGTGTGTAGGAGGGGTTACCAAGCTTGGTTGTGACGTATAATCGGAAGCCATCCATGACGTCAACTTCCTTGTCACCAACTTTAACCTTAAATGGACATCGAAATAACATGAGGTGATGACGTCACGTATAAAGTAATTCAACTGAGAGCGCATGCGCAGATAGGCTTTTTACCTTATATGTTTTGCCAGACTTGATAAAGTTTTTCTCTAACACGTTATCGAGCGCAGGGTCTAATTCCTCGCCCACGTCCTCTATGATCAGCGGTCGTCCCAAWGAGAGCGAATCTTCYAGATGGTTACGGAAGTACTTGTGGTTCAAKGATGTTATCTGTAAAGAACAATGTATTTATGTAAATCACAATTGGCATTCCCCWGGTAAGAATTTAAAATTCTGACATGTAAATTGGGCTTCCTGTGTTAACAGATATGTTGACTTTACCTGTAGTTCATTCTGTGATTCTTTTGATCTGATCCACGCTTTTCCCTGACCCTACAACACGAGA